ATGCTACTAAGCCTGCCAAGTACAGTCTGTGCAAAGTGGTCACTCTTGTGACGCATCCTGGGGTACCTTACACACAATCTGCCATTAAACAAGTGCATGCGTTAAACAATGCATCTGCATTAAACAAGTGCATCTCATGGGAGAGATAGATGGGCTGATGTGAGAATGAGGGAAGGAACGGAAACCTGGAAGGGAGCTTGGGGTTATGTGTGATCACAGGCTCTGTGACACCTGGCTGCTTGGTCAGAAGGGGGAATGTGACAACAGCTGACTTCTGTTTAGGGCCAGGATCTTCACATGATTACAGAGCTGGGAGAAGTTCAAGACAAGTATTGCTGCCATTTAGGATTTTTTAGGGGTTACTAAGATGAATGTACTATTTAAGAACTGAGTGAGAGCACCATATTTTGGTTACATTCCATTTAGTCACTGGGAAGATATTTTCTTTTTGAGATAGAAGAGGATGGCTGTGAGTATTTGTGCACTAATATGATTTTATTTAGTTTAGTTTAGTTTTTTTTTTTTTGTCTTTTTGAGACAGGGTCTCGCTATGCAGCTCAGGCTGGCCTTGAGCTCACTTTGTAGCCCAGGCTGGTCTTGAACTCGCAACGATCCTCCTGCCTCAGCCTCCCGAGTGCTGGGATTACAGGCGTGTGCCACCACACCCAGCAATATGATTTTCTTTCCTAAGTAGTTATTTCATTGCCAACAATGGCCTGCCTGAGTCTGTGCCAGGCTGGCAGTGGTCGGGGCATAAATGAGACTAGAAAACACACCTCCACTCTGCCTTCTGGGTGACCAGCCTGAGCGAGGTCAGAGGTAGGCTTCTGCCAGGTTAAGAGGCAAGTCACTACTGATGTCTTTTGTATTTGTCTTTTACTAGCTTCAAGCCACTGAAATCTCACGTACTTGTCATTTCACTTTGTTATTTTGTTTAGGTGAACAGTAGTACAAGCAAAGTAGAAAAGCAAACGCCCCAGTTGTCAGTAAAGAATACTTCAAGACTGCCCACATTTGGTCACTGACTAAGCTGTTATTGAATGCAGCTTTATTGATAGTGATGAGATTACAAATACTACTACCATACATTCTTGTTGTTCCTTATATAGTACCAGAATGTTTTAAGCAAACAGAAATTTTCTGCTAACACTTGCTGAATAAATATATATTTTTAGGGGTACCCAAAATAAGTATTTCCTTTCAAAATTCCTGAGAGGGAGAATTATATGGTGTTTACCTTTGAATGTGCAATAGGCTAAATATTTAGTATTTTAAAGACTTCAGTTCTCACAATTACAAATCGAGCAGTGCTCGGGAAATTATGTTGTAGTTTATGGGCTCAAAAGAGTTCCCTTTAATCCTGCCTTGTCCTGGAGAACACACTCACCAGCAGCTGGGATGGGGCTCCAGCTTACCAGAGACTACAAACTCCTCTGGATGGAACTAAAGGTGAGATAAATGGAGTAAATTTTTAGTGTGTTTTTTAAGTAACTTGGATGAATTCTGAAGACACATGGCCAGGAGAACTAGCAAAAAACCAAAACAAAAACCTCTCAACACTTTCCTATTTTCAGGTGGACCTCTATTGACACTTTCTTAAGTGTTTCTAGGACACACTTAACTATAATTGCTACTCTGCCTCAGATCAGAGAGCAGTCCTCACTTCTGTACCACCGCAGCACACCTGCTCAGACAGAACACTCTGCTGCTCTCTAAGCACGGGGTAGAACTACACTAATCGGTGCAATTTCCCAACTTCCATCTGTAACCATTCTTACAACATAGGAAATAAAACATGAAATTCATTTAATGTACTGAAAGGAACTGGTGCATGAGGTATCATAACTTGGCCCCAAGAGCCTAGCTAAGTGTGGACAAGCTCTGTTACAGCCTGGCTTCCTAGAGACTTTCTTATCAGGTCTCTGGCCCATTCAGGAAAAGACAGCTTGAGTTTTACTGTTTCAGCTGCTGGGTAACATGCAATTTCCTCAGTTCATTGAACTAATGTGTTTATTTAACCCAGGACTGAGGCATTACAAATATAACAAGTCCTTTTCTTTCAGAAAAATAAAAGGAAGCGCATGGTTAGATCCTAAGGCTTCAGAGTGTAAGCTTAAATTATAATAAAATGAAATGGATTTTTCAGCTGGGAAGCTTGGAGACACTGTCATGTTTTCTAGGAGCAGCTCCTTCAAGGGAAGGATTAATGAATGTGCTTCACAAATGAAAGGTAACATGTGTTGTTTTCATTCTGCATATGTTTGTGTCCATCTTCTTTAACTGCTGAAGCAGAAGATAAAAAGCACTGCATCCAGGAAACCAGAAGGCCCAGGTATGTGTACTTTCTGAGTCTTCAGAGCAGCAAGGCAGAGAACAAACGGTCATTTCCAATTACTTACCCAGCTCTAACACGCCTTCTGTCTAGAAAGCCGCTACCAAGTTGTTGCACAGCCTATCATACCAAACTTTTGTTTTGTTTTTTTTTTTTTTTTT